TGTAAAAAAAAAATGTAAGTTTATCCCACAATCCTTAATGGAAATACAGTATTAGAAAATCAAATTTTACTTAACCATTCTCCTACTGTGTTGGACCCAGAAACTGTTCCACATTTTTCATAATCACAAGCAATGCTAAGTAAAAAGCACTCTAAATTACAGCTTAGGAAAATGATCATTTCCTAAGGATAAATTCTGAAAAAGAGCATGCTGGTTCCAAAAAGACATACTTAACATTAGTTTTCCTCTCCCAGCTGTGGTGGCACCGTGTCTATTTCCTGGGGTCTTCAGCAACATCCATACGGTTGATTTTTATTTAATCTTGGCTAAATGAAAACACACACATGAGGAAGCATTCCACAGTTTTTTCAAGACTCATTATTTTTATGTGTACATGTGTGGGTGTCTATATGTGTGTAACACATAGGCAGGTGCCCATGGAGGCCATAAGAGGGACTTGGATCCCCTGGAGCAGGAGTTACAAGCTGCTGTGACCTGTCCATGTGAGTGCTGGGAACTAAACTCAGGACTGAGCCATTTCTGTAGCCCTGAATTCCACTGTATTAAGCCCATCTCTGTTACTACTGAATTAGGGACTTTTTTTTTTTTTACAAATCAAAGATATAACTGTATTGTACAACATGATATCATGTAATTGTTTACATTATGTTAAAATAATAGGGTGTAATAATTTAGTTGTTCATAGATTTTACATTGTAATAACTATTTATTAAATCTATGATTAATGAATCTTTCCAGAATAGTAACCATCCACAGTGTTTGCATTCAAAGCACTGTTTTCAGATCACCCTGGTATAGCCTCATCTCCTCTCAGCCATCTGGGTCCCCTTCCCCAACCTCTACCCTCCTCAGGTTAGACCAAAGATTCTCTTTCGGCTCAAAAGGAAAACATATAAATATATTTGAAACATCATTAAATGTTGAAGTAATATTCATATTTTTAAAACACTGTCTATCCTTTTTTAATTTCCTTCTCAAAACAGTCTTGTGACTCTGATAGGGTGGCTTTGTTGATAAAGAATCTGAGGCATGAAGTGTGACTTGTCCACTCTAATGTAGGCATAATCTGAATATAGGGGTTTGGATTCCAAAGCTTCCACAGCACCAAGCCACTTCTAGAAAGTCCACTGAAAGGGACACATGATTCCCTGAAGAGACAAAGTGGCTGAAACACAGGGCCTGAGGAGGTGATCGTTAAGCCAGAAGGAAAGGCTAAAACGCTTAAAAATAAAGGGCTGGAGGGGTGCCTCAGGGGTTAAGAGCGCTGGCTGCTCTTCCAGAGGACCTAGGCTTGACTTCCAGCATCCGCACAGTGGCCACAACCAGTTTCAAGGAATCTAAGCCTCTTTTCTAGCCCCCAGGGGCACTGCACACATGTGCCACACAGACGCATATGCAGACAAAATAGTCAGACACATAAAATATAAATAAATACATTGTAAAAAACAAGCTTTAAAATAAAAATAATAAGAGTCCAATAAGCACCCCTCAGGGGCAATGGAGCCCACATGCATCTACCTGGGGTTCACTCCCTCAACCAAAGAATGTTAGAGCAGGAAAGAACTGGTGTCAAGATGGGAGTTTGAATGCCCTGTGACATAGATAAAAGAGGCCCTAAGGTGTTGGGCCTACAGTGGTCACCAAAGGCCAGCAGAGATAGTGGCCCCAAGTTCATTACCTCATAACACTGAAATCAAAGACACACTCCCCGAGGAATATAGGAAGCAGGAAGAAGCTCTATTAAGAAGAATTACAGAAAAGTGAGAAGTTGAGGAAAAGTGAAACTCCTGAGAGAAAGTGTGTGGATGTGGGGGAGAGGGAAGAGCCATTTAGCTCCTTCGTTGAAGGGTTTTTATAGGCAAAAGGCAGACGCGATTACAATGAGATTAGTTAGTTCTCTGGGATACAATGGCTGAACTAATAGGTGGGGGGTGCATGCCCTATGCATGACCCCATGGTCCAGCTAAGAATCATGCTCTACTTATGTTAGGAATGATCCAAATCACCTTCTGTCCATCACTGGCCCCTTGTTAGTCACGTGGACAGAGTTTCTTCCTTCTGACCTTGAAGGTATCAGGTATACAAGTGTATCTTATACTAAGTTTTCTTTGTTCTCACATGACATGCTCACTTAGAGATTTGCTGTGGTATCACAGTCACCAAGACGTAGCGGCCATCAATCTTGGTTACTTCCCATGTAGTTCCTCATCAATTCAGTTGTCTGAGTTATTCTCCTCAGCTTGTTGTTAGAAACCATACTTACTTGTAGTTTATCCTGTCACAATTAACTGTATTAGAAGCAAGAATAAGAGATAGGACAGTAGTGTCTCACATTTGTCCCTCAAGTGCTTCTGAGGGACCAGCTGGTCTGCCATCACTGACCAGTGCCCCATCTTTCCTGATATCTGTCTAGCTTGGTTATCTCTGATCCTACCACAAGCCTTCTTATTTATTTTCCTCAGTGTGGTGATTTGTATGAGAATGGTCCCCATAGGCTCATATATTTGAATGTTTGGTCTTTAGCTGGTTGGTGGAACTGTTTAGGAAGGATTAGGAGGCATGGTCTTTTTAGAGGAGTTGTGTCACTGGGGGTGGACTTTGAGGTGTCAAAAGCTCACACCATTCCTGGTTAGCTCTCTGCACCTCATGCTTGTGGACCAGACGTAAGCTCTCAGCTGCTGCTCTAGCGCCTGCCTATCTGCTGTCACATCCCCCACCGTGGCAGTTACGAACTCTAACCCTCTGGATTCATGGTCCCCGAATTGAATGCTTTATTTTATAAGTTGCCTTGGTCATGGTCTTTTGTCACTGCGATAGTTGTCAATTATGCTTCACTAAGACAATATTAAAATTAAGAAGCAAAGGCAGTAGAGTACTCACAACTTCTTACTTCTTAATTCACTTCTGTGCTATTGACTGTGCTCTTTTATGCCTGTGTGGAGTGCAACTGCACTGTGCGATGCCTTCCCGCCTCTGCATCCTCATCTCACTGGTACCTCAGAACTGGCCATGGCAGAATATTCGCACAGTGCAAATGGCAAACACCACACACACGGCACTTGATTTATTGTTTTGTTGATTGCCCAGACTTCAAAAAGTAAGGAGGAAAATGTAATATGTTGATGAAACTTAAAATGGGGCCATCCTTTCTTTTTTCGTTTTTCTTTTTCTTTTCTTTCTTTTTTTGCAGCTATTACATAGTGAATACCAGAGGGACCACCTTTTTTTATTATTATGCATTTCACTAAGGAAGCAAATGAATAACGTTCTGATAGTTCTTGTGTCATTCATGTTGTGAAGAGAGAAACCTTTCTGCTGAATCTGATTGAAATCAAACATTTACTAATGCTTGACCACAGGCTACTTACAGGTACACAAAACTCAATGAAAGCCTTTTGTGGTCATCAACTGACAACAGATTTACAGTAGCATATGTTATATATTTTCATTTTAGTTGTAAGTTGTAAGCTTCGAATCCTTCATATCAGCAAAAACTATAACAAAGCATTTTCCCTGTAGAGTTAGTTGTTGAATGTTTAAAGTGCATTGCTTAGATAGATCTAAGGGAAAACCCTACCACACTTTAATCCGAGAATTATTTAGAAAAATCTTCAGGGATTCCCAATGAATGAACCCCAGGAAGAGCAGCATTTCAGCCTTTTTGAGCATGTTATTACTACCACAAACCAAGTATCTTTTATTGACTCAGATAGTGTGACATTTAATATTTACCAGCAGTATTTAGACAGGAATTTACTAATAGCTAACATATACATGAGGTGGTTTTTCAATAGTATGAGAAGCTAAGAGAAGTTTATTCTCTAAGATCAGACTAAAAGAAAACTGCATCTAGAAATAGATTTAATGTGTATGCTTCATAAAATATGTACAAGAAAAGATGTACTGTGTAAAAACAAATCACATCTACACCCAAATCATCATCAATGAAGTTATATAAAATAATGATTTGCAGTCTATATATGTCACAGGAAAACATTCTGACAGGAACATTATGGTTGGAATTTATAGTTTTAAATTACATGATAACCATGCTAAATAGTGTCAAAAACATGTCTTAGTCCCCATTTTCTTTAAGATGCTTTGAACTTTGGACTTGCCTTTTAAATAGGCCACCAAGATCACACCTGAAATTTAGGAACTCCCTTAGGACATGAGCTAGAAGGTAAAAGCAACTTTCTGCATCAGAAACAATCCTCAACCCTTGAAAAATATTAACCACGCATCTTTCCAGCAGTGTGTGCTTGCTTGACATGCTGCTACATGCATATGCCACTGTCACTACTGAATGAACACCCAGCTCCAATGGTGATCATGGGCACTACAAAAACAGCACGGTTTATGCTCACCCTTCGGTCAGAGTTCAGTCAGTCCTTGAACCATGACCGCCAATGAGGGAGGTAGGGGGGAAGCAGTGTGGAAGCATCTTTGCAAATCTGACACCAGCAGACTTCACACCAGCGCTCTTGTCTTATTGGGCTATTTCCTGCATGGGTGAGGCACAATGTTTGGATTATGGCATGTAGATACATGTAATAGTGAGTCAGTGCTAAGGTCATCCAGGCTGGGATCAGTGAAGGGCTTGTTGTGCAAGGATAGAATTAGAGTTCACTTCCCAGTATACATGGAAAAAGCTACTGTGTTCACAGCACTTGGGAGACAGAGACAGAAAGGTAAAGCGCTGGTGCTCATTGACCAGCCCAACTAGCTGAATTCTTGAATTCCAGTGAGAAACCTAGAGCTCAAAAACAACCAAAACAGCATCCTGAGAAAGTATACCTGTGGTTGACCTCTGTACAAGTATGTGTACCTGCACGTTCATGAACACACATGTACACACACACACACACCTGAGTCATCCATACTTTAAGAACACATTTTACAAATTTGTTAATCTTACTATATAAGACACATGACTATCATTATCATAATCGGTGAATATCTGTAGGGTTCATACTCACAAATAAGCTTCCTTTGCAGATAGGACTCCTCCCTCTAGCCCCACATGCAGAGGTGAAAACTTCATCACAGGTGTACACACCTGACCCTTCAGGTCCTGAAGGGAAAGCAATCTGTCCTGAGCTGTGTGACTGTGTGAAGTAGGAGAACGGCCAGTATAGACTGCTTTGTCCAGAGGGTGTTCCATCTCCCGTATTTCAGAGACTTTGGGAATCCAGACTCTGGGCACTTCGGGGTGTGTGATTCAAAGTGCAGAAGGGGTAACTGTTACATTCCAGAATGCAACTGATGGTGAGGGTAGTAACAGCCAACACTCACACAGGGTTTCTGCACACGCAGAAAGGGTAGGCACAGCTGACTCGGGAAGCCAGCAGATGGATGGATAAGGATTGATGGATGGACAAGACTTTGAAACCAAATGTTATTTACAAAAGCTGTTATCAAAAATGGCAAGACTACTTACACCACCGGCAGTTTTCCAAATTTAGCTCAGAATTAAAACAAACAAATGAAAACAAAGGATACACTAAAAACAGTGGAGCCTACCATTTAACTCAATCAGAGAAACTTGAACAAACCTCAAGATAAGATCAGAAGAGTTCTCCCTTGGGGTCCACATGGAAATTGCTATCAACACACCATCCTGATTTCCATAGCTTCTAATTTCTTCTTTCAGTGATTGGAAACCAAATATACAATTTTATCCTCCTTAATTCCCTCTCACTAGGAGTTGGGAATTTTCAATACCACAAGCTAATTAAAGACACATTATTAGAGCAAAGGCTTCCTTGCAGCTCACCTGGCATAGAAGGGTTAATCACATACATTTACCATCCTAACTTAAGCAGGAATAATAAGGGCAAGGGGCTGGCCTTTGTGGCCACCTTTCTGAGATTATGCCTCTTCTTCAAAGCACAACAGTTTTAAAAAAAATTAAAAGCCATGCAAATGGAGATGAATGGTATGCAGGCCACTGAGGTAATTAAAAATGTATTTCCCATCTCCTAGTAATTGAATTGTGTACAAGCTGCAAGTTAATGAGGTCATCTACCCTCAAGCACTGACAGGAAAGCAGGAATAATTATCTTTCAATTTTTTTGCTATGTAGCAATTAATTTTAACCATTCGCCTACACCCCTCTTCCACTCCCCTCATCCCAGTCAGTCAAAGTCATTGCTAAACTGAATTGACAAGCAATTGATACGGTGGCAGCCCGGAGCTGCCGAGGCAGGCAAGGTAATCAAGGGGTTGCAGCTGTTGAGGGCTAAGCGCTTCCAGGTGAACGTCGCCTGAGATTTTGCATTCTGCCACTCGGAGGACACAGGACACACCGTGGTGGCTGACAACATCTGGTGCCAGGTGGGCTGGGAAGGGGCACCACTGACTTGGGAAGGCAACAGAAGGATGGACAAGGATTGATGGATGGACAAGACTTTGAAACAAAATGCCACTTACAAAAACTGTTCTCCAAAAATGCGAGAGGGAATGTTTAGCCGCCCATTCAACTTGTGTTGATTTTATGGAAATTGATGAACTTCTTGGAGATTTTTGGACAGTTTCTAGGGTCCTGCAAGCAAGAAAAGTTTCTTCAATCATTTTGCTCAACAAATGCTCGCTGTTGCTAGGCAACCTCATTCTAGCCCAGCACAGCACTGGGAGGGATTTATTTCACATCCACTGCAGCTGGGCTACATGACCCAGAATACATCATGTTTTGACAGGTATCAGTCTACCTGATGTCTAGGTCAAAACCTAAGCTTGTGACTTCATCAGTTCTTGTTTGTCTAACTAGCAACGTGAAGAAGACTATCTTAGCAAATGTTTAAGAGAAGAGAGCCCTGTGATGCTTACTATCTTGGGTTAACTTGAATGGACTAAGAGATGCCCAGGGAGCTAGCTATGCATCATTTTTGCATATGTTTACAGGGATGTTCCCAGGAAAAATGGCATTAGCCTCAATGAGCTAAGTCAACAAGATATGTTTTTATTCAATGTTGGCAGATACCAGGCATTTGCTGAGGTCCATGTGAACAAAAGTGCAAGTAATTTCTCTCTCTTCTAGAGTTGAGACACCTGTATCTCTTTGCTGTTGACCACCATAAATCTAGATTCTTAGGCCTTCACACTCCAATATTTATAACAGAAGCCCTGGCACAAAGCAGTTGTGACTTGGTTTTTCTGTTTTTGGAAGCACATAGAGTCACACTACTGGCTTTCCTGATCTTCCCAATCAATGCACATCTTGAGACTCCTCAACATCTATAATTTCAGAAATTGCTTCTGTCAGTTATTTATCCCCCTGCTGTTTAACTATCACATCCATAATTACCACACAAACAATTTATCTATTGATGTATGTATGTAGTATGTATCTATCATCTCTGTAATTAAATAAACCAAGTCCATCACTTACCTACTATCTCTCTATCATCTATCTATCTATCTTGTATAATCTATTTATCAGTTCCATAATTACATGAGCCTATTCCACTAAACTATCTACTCATCTATTTATCTTACTGGTCCAATTTCTCTGAGAACCTTGACCAACAGAAGGCCTCCATTCATGAACCTGTCTAGACTTACTAAGCATTTAAATATGTCTTAAAAAAGATTTTATCTAGATGTGTCTGTGTGTGGTTATGTCCACATAAATGTAGGTGCCAGTAGAAACATTGGATACCTCTAGAACTGTAGTTACAGGCTGTTTTGAACCACCCTGATGTAGATGCTAAGAATCTAACTAGGTACCCCTGGAAGAGCAGCAAGCACTGTTAACCCTGAGCCATCTCCATCTCCCCTGCTCTCTCCTCGGGTCTTAATGCCAAGCAAGGGCATTATTATTACTAAGTCCTGTGAGAAAAGTACTAGATGCTATGTATTGGCTCCAGCACTAAATAAGTGCTGCATATTGTATAGTGCTAAACCAAGCATGAGCTTCTGGATCAGCTTATTTTGTTGTCCAGATACAAGTATTGATAGAAAATTCACTCTTCATATGTCCCTGTACTGGCAATAACATTTGGTTACCTCGTCATGGGGCGACTGGGTGAAGCGAAGGATAGAGTGAGGGTATTAGCGTCAAAGGTGCACCCTCCCACTCCTTCTTTGAGGACATATTGTCTGTCTTGCCCTCCTTCTGTATGCATCCAGGATATCCAGCGTAATTCAAGTGTACAGAATCATCCCATTAAATGGGTCTCAGTGACCATGGAGGCTCAGAGTTAGCGCTGGGAAATGACACCACCAGGAAGTATGAGCTCCTAGGAGTCTTGCTAAAAACAGCACATGCACACATAGAGCATGGTTAGACCAGCTGAGTGCTCCCTCCCCAGGCTTTAGTTGCAACAGGCTTTCTGGAGAGTTCCCCACCAGGCAGAATAGATGGCTGGAAATCACACGTTAACTAATACTTGCACAATATGGATCGCCTTTTGACAGTAAACCCTAATAGTTTTGGACTGCAGAGAATTAGCTTTCCCAGAAACTAATGAAAGTCCAGACAGCTGGCATGCAGAGAGGGTGTGTGGGGGGGTGGGGGTCCCAAGTATGACAGAAGGGATAGGGGTAGAACATTTTCTCTTCATTCCTGAGGCATTCATTTGCCTCCTCATTCTTTATGTCTGTTTAATTTCCTCAAGGGGACTAGCAGAAGAGAGGACCCTGGAGTCTACTCCTACTCTGATTATTGTAGAGGTAACCCAGGAGAATTCAGGGATCTGAGGCAGAATCAAAGAAGAGTCTCCCTCGAGAGATGGCAAACATGTTCCTACCTGAACCCTGGAGGAGTGCCAGAGTGGAAGTGCTCTTCATCTACTTTGTGAAGATAAGTACCAATCACTGCAGGCTTCCTACGCCCAGAGTCAGTGCACACAGCACAGTACAGGGAGGTCAGCAGATACACTCTGTGATTACAACTGCAACTCCACACACGTGGGGTAACTCTTTCTGCCCCTGCCCACCCCTGACAAATCTCCCTCCTAAGGGGACAGAGGAGCTACTGTCGGTTTACTTCCTACCATGTGTGAGGAAGTTTATGCATCTCCTCACTTGGTTTTCAGAGCAATCTCAGTGTTAAACTCCAATTTCCAAACGAGAAAACTGAGGCTCAGAGAAGTAAGGCTTAAGGGAATTATCAGAGCTCCCTGCTGGTCCTGTCCTGCACAATATCAAGGTGAATCAACATAGGTTTTGCTAGTTCAAGACACTCCACACACACCCAACCAGTGACTCTCTTTCCACCATCACCAGAATTCATATGACAGGCAGAAGCTGGGACTCGATGAGACAACTTATCCAAAGTGACACAGTCACTATGGGTCACAGTTGACAATGCCTGACTGAATAGTCTGCATGTATAGTCCCCATACCAGTCAGCCTCCTTAGCCAGGGCTGCTCAAACCTCGAAGAAGCTATGGGTTGCTTACTGAGTCTCTGGAAATCTCACCTGCTGCTACTTACAACCTTCTTTGAGTGAACTGAAATGTTCCCAAGATAGCCCAGGCAGGGCAGGGATTTTGACTGCATCTGTGACACAGAGCTATGCAGTGTCTCAAATCGAGGGGCGAGATTCCGATCAGGCCCTGGGGAAAGGTTATGATTGCACAGTTGTGCACACACGAGAGCACACATTCATGGAGTGCAGAGACAGACGGTGTTGTTCTCATGATGAAGAGGCCATCAGCAGACACTCCACCATCCCCTGCTGGAGACAAGCTGTTCGACCTCTGTGCTGATCCCTGGAACCAGTGGACAGTCAGACACAAAGAAACCTGGCTTCATTTAGGCAGTCAAACCACCATGTGAGGAAAATCCCAACCAGAACAACAGATTTCTCCGAGGAGAATACAAAAGGATGGACAGGTGGCTTCCCATGGAAAAGCAACACCCACAACTTCCCCTCTAGACTCCAAGCTGCCTGCCAGGCCTGGAAAGCAAAAGACAGACTGGCTTCAAATAGAGACATATTTGAAATGCAAAAGTACCTTTGGAATTGCGTGAGCATTTTAATTTAATCAATAAGTAAAGTTTAAGGAGGGAGAGAGACAGATGATGATGGAGGTGGTCATAATGATGATTAAGTTGTCAATTATCAGGCTGAATAATAATGGTAGCTACAATTTATTGAGCACCTACTACCTGCCAGGGATTGTGATTTCCATGTATCCTCTAATTTGGTATTTCCAAGAACCCCCATTGCTGTTATTCTATGCATGTCCCAATTTTTAGAGGAAATGGAGGCTCTGAAATGTTTTTTACTCACTTCTCAAAAGCTAGGCAGCTAGCAAGCATGGCAGCTGGGGTTTAAATGGAGACTACTTTATTCCAAGCCTGTGATGGATCCTTCCTCCCCACCCATCCCCATGCTGTGAGAGAGAGAAGAGAGAGGTGCACACACACATACATAACATGTACACATGAGTTTGAGGTGTGTGTACACATACACCCTAATGCATTAAATAAAGCATCCCAAGCAATTAACTCTCCAAAAAGCAAGAAGAACTCCAGGATAGATTCTGGCCTGTCTGTCTTCAAAGTTCTCCCTGACTGAAGTGTGTAAGGAGGTACCCAAGACATCTCTGTGGCCCCAGGTCAAGTCTGCTTTGTTTTGGGTCTCATCCCTCCTTCCCTTCAAGAAACTCTCTCCAGAAATGGCCCTTCCTGCAAGAATTGTGCTCCAACCTGGCACTAAAAGAGAACCAGCTAGTGTCTGATGACAGTCATATTGAGAAGTCCAGTCCTCAGCCCCACAGCCACATGGTTCTCTCTCTCTCTCTCTCTCTCTCTCTCTCTCTCTCTCTCTCTCTCTCTCTCTCTCTCCCTCCCTCTCTACCCCCTCTCTTTGTCTCTCTCTCTCTCAACTGATCACCTGATCACCAACCACATCACTCCTTCCTTATTTTGCTTATTGCTCCCACTTCACTGAAGTCTTAGAACAGCCTCATAGGTGAGGTCATTCCTACACCCACTCCAAAGACAAAGAAATAGAAGCCTTGAGATGCTAAGCACATTTTTCTGAGTGACACAGCTCACTGGCTGAGCTAGGATTGGAGCCCATCATCAGCATCCTCAATCTAGAAGTCATGATTCTGTAGATGCAGATACCTGGAGATGCTCATTGGGAAGGTGCTTGAGGGCTAGAGAGATGACTTAGCAGTTAAGAGCACTGGCTGCTCTTCCAGAGGACCAAGGTTCAGTTCCCAGCACCTACACATGGCTCAAAGCCATCTGTAACTGCAGAGCCAGGTGATCTGTTCCCCTCTTCTGGCCTCCATGGGCTCACGGTGCATATACACTCACTTAGGCAAAACACCCATATACATAAAAATCATTTTTTATCTTTTTTTGTTCTAGAGCAATCTTTTCTCATTTTGCATACCAATCCCAGTTCCTACTCCCTCACCTCCTCCTGCTCTCCCCAGCTTCTCCCTACACCACCACCCCCATCCACTCCTCAGAGAGGATGAGGCTTCCCATGGGGAGTCAACAAAGTCTGGCACATCACTTTGAGGCAGAACCAAGCACCCCTCCCTATATCTAGGCTGAGTAAGGCATCCCTCCAAAGAG